TTTACTTTCCATGTGTTTGAATAATTTATGCAGTGTCTATCTGTTGATTGCTAGTTTCATTCTTTACTAGTGAGTAGAGAAGATGTGAGATACTATTTCAACTTTTTTAAATTTGTGAAGACTTGTTTTGTGGCCTTAAACATGGTTTAGTTTAAGACAATGTCTGTTAAGTCCATTTTATCTAGAGTATAATTTATTAATCTGTAAATCATTTGTTCTCAAATTAGCAATTTTTTGTTAGTTTCTTTATTAATTTTTTGTTTATATGTTCTATCTACTGGTGAGAGTGGGACTTTGAAGTCATCCAGAATTATGATATTGGGATCTATCTCTCTCTTTATGTCTAGTAGGTTTTCTTGGTACATGTGTTTTGTATTTTTACAAAAGTGGATGCTTTGACATGTAAATTCATAACCACTGTAACTTATTGATGAATTGTTACTTATATGTTCCCTATAAAGTGACCTTCTCTATCTCTCCTGCCTGCTTTTGGATTTTGTTTTCTATCATTTTATTTTCAGTCTGTGTATATCTTTGCTGGTGAGGTGAGTATGTAGGTAACATACGGTTGGGTCTTGTTCTTAGCTCATGCAGTGTCTTTTCATTGGAAAATTAAGATAATTCACATTCAGAGCTATTCAAGATGTGGACTCATTCCTGATTTTTTTTCCTGATTGTTTTAAATATTCCTTACTTCCTCTTATCGGTCTTTGAAGTTTGATGGCTTACTCTACTGATTCTTTCCTATTTCTAATTTGTATATCTATTTTTCTCGTGGGATTTTTTTTCATGTGCTCTCACAATGGTGATTTTTTTTCTCTTCTGGTTATAGGATTTTCTTAAGCATTTTGTGTAATTCTGGTCTAGTGGTCATAAATTCCCTTAGTTTATACTTATCATGTCAGGTCTTTATTTCTCTCTTCAATTCTGAAGAATAAGCCTTGCTAGGAATAGTAATTTTGGTTGGTAGTTTGGAATTTTAAATTTTAGGATTTGAGATATATCACCCCATGATATATTGGCATTTAGAATTTCTTTTGAGGAATCTGCTATTAATCTTAAGCGTTTGCCTTTATATGTAACTTGTTTCTTCTCTCTTACAGATTTTAATGTTATTTCTTTGTTCTGTACTTTAGGCAATTTAACATGTCATGAAGAGGTCCTTTTTATTCTGATTATATCTATTCTAAATGCCTCTTGTACCTGGATGTCCATGTCTTTCCCAAGATTTGGGAAATTTTCTACTATTATTTCATTGAATAGTGTTTTTTTAAACATCATCTGCCTATAGTTCTCACTAGGAATGCTGATGAGCTGAAAAATTTGATTTTTTAAGGGCTTCCAGAGATCTTGTATGTTCTTTTCATTCCTTATTTTTGCTTGAGTATGAAATTTCAAAGTACTTGCCTTTAATCCCTGATATTCTTCCTTCTGCCTGGTCTAGTCTATTTTGTGGCTTTCATTAGAGATTTTTTTTATCAGATTTATTGCGCTTTTCAGTTCTAGGATTTCTGTTTGCTACTTTTTAAAATCTCTCTCTCTTCACTGAATTTTCCTCATTATCTTTCTTAACTCATCTAACCATTTATCTGTATTTTCTTGGGTTTCATTGAGCTTTCTTAGGATTATTCTTTTAAAATCCATATCTAGCATTTCATCCACTTCATTATTTTTGGAGTCTGTTACTAGGGAGTTATGAACTTGAGGAGGTGTCATATTACCTTGCTTTTCATATTACCTGTGTTTTTGAGATTTACACATCTGTTTATATGGATAGCTCTTCTACTTTTGTATGATGACTTTCTTAGTAAGCAGTTTTCTCTTTACAGCATATCTTAGAGTATTGGTTTGTTGCTCAATATTGAGTTAATTTTCTATTAGACTCTATAGTTTAATCTCTCCATGGATTCTTTTGGCTGTGAATAGTGGGTCTGGATACAGTATAAGAATCTGAGGGAAGCACTCTTTCATAGGTCTTGTAAGAGAGAGGGCCCTCTGAAAACTTGAGCAGGTTTGCTATATACAGCACAGTATTGGGTGAACCCTGTGGTTATTCCTACAGTGGGAGCGGAAGCCTTTATTAGGTGGTTGGGAGTTTCCATAGGTACTATTGATATTGAATCTGTTACTGGAAAGCAATTCTGATACCGGTTGCTCCAACTGTGAAGCTCTTATTCTTAGTTTGTACACTGCTACAATTACTGGTGTTTCACAGGGCGAGGTATGGGCTGAGATCACAGTTCCCTCTCTGTGATACCCACAGTCCTGTTAACAATGTGTGATCTGATAAGATGTGGGCATGATTGATGCAGAGAGCCTTCATATACTCGGTGTTCATAATGGTTGTATTATTCCTCTCTGCTGTTACTGTGTGGGTTCCTGTCCAGGAGTGAACCTCAGAGCCCTCCTAACTTTTCCTGCATGATGGATTGATGACTGGGAACTTTTGCTTCCCCCGTTCTTTAAGTTGAAGTATCTGTCAAAGTTCACACTGGAACAACATATAATTCCTCCCAGCTGGGCTGTGAGTGTACACAGTGAAAAAGCACCCATCTAATGGATACGGGCCCTGGGGCTCAATCCCTGGCAACATACACACACACACACACACACACACACACACACACACACACACAAATATTGATAAAAACCAAAAATATAAAAAACTAAAAATTTGAAAAGGAGAAAAATAAATAAAAATGAAAAGGCAGGAAAAAAAAGACAAAGGAGAAGCATAAAAACATGAAAAAGGGGATTTTTTTTTTTTTAATAAAACCCTTCTTTCTGAGGTGCTCAACGATGGTGTTGGGGTAGATGATTCCAGAGCTTCTCTTCAGGTCTTCTTAGACTATGCACCTCCCATGCAATGGCTATGGGTTTTTTATGCCCTATTTTTTTTTTTTTTAAGCTGGGTGACTAGCAGGAGTGGTTTGTGGCTGACACTAGATAAAATTCTACTCTTCTGCACTGCATGCTGGAACAAGCTAGCATGGAATGAAAAATGTACCAGGCAAAGATTATCTTCTTTGATTTATACTCTACACAGTCCATCAGCTGGGCCAACCCAAGCACTGTGATGTGAACCCAGACACCTCTGAGAGCAGACAGGAGGGATGGAGTCACAGAGAGTCTTTATCTTGTGCTGGGAAGGAGCAGCAGTATTCAGAATCCATAAGCTCTGCTGCCCTTGACCATGGTGACCCCAGACCTGGCTCCCACGTGAAACCGCATGACACTGCACTTCCTGGATTAAGAAGGCATGTAAACCTAAACCGTTGATTTTATAGGGAAGCACCTTCTGTATTGCCATGTGCATTTCCTACACCATAAACTAAGCAGGCCTGAGTCAGAGTCACTACCCAAGTCAAAATTAACCAGTGAGATGGCCACTTGCTGAAGCCTCTTAATGAAATGGCTACAGGGTCCTTGAAGTAGAAAATGCCAGGATTTCTGTCCCCCAGAAGAGTTTAAGCTCAGACAGTAAGACTTTTCTTAAGATGGCTCCTGATTACAGGGGAAATACAGGGAATTACTAAAACCAGCTCTTTGTCAATCCCAGTTCTCTTCAGCATTTAGACTGTATTCTGTACCAATGGAGCTCTCTGGGACTTCTCTTTCCCTTATGCCTAGGCTAAGGGGATACTTTTCTTCCCCTGGATGTGTTGCCATTCAACAGGGTTCTGGCATACTCTTTCTCTTGGTATAGTCTATTATACAAAATCTCGAGGTTTCACCTCACCTTTATCTCTTCAGTAAATCCCAGTCTCTCTCCCTGTCATGCACCTCAACAGGCAGCTACAGACCTGTTGTTATTGTTCAGTCTTATGGAGAATAGATGGCTCTATCCCATCATGTTGGCTCCTTACCACAATACTTTATTAAAATAAGTCTTTTTGTTATATCTCATTTGTCATGTGTTTTCTCTCTCTCAACTAAAAAAGAGAAAGCATTAACTTAATTTTGCTCCATTGTTGAAAGAGTGACCTTTCCCCTGAAGTATAGAGTCTGAAGTTCCAGTATGTGCAGGCATAAATTTGTGTAACTCACCGTTATAGCTCCTAGGAACTTGCAGTTCAGGCATGGAGTAATGCTTAATAAGTATTTGTTGATTGAAAGCTACCAAACTTGGCCTTGGGCTTCTGTTTTTTCTTCATCCACACAACTTCTTATTTCAATTTCATATTAAATGCTAAAGTTCTTAGGTAGTCTTTAGCTCAGAGAAAACATTTTCTCTTTTATGTCTTGTTCAGTTTGTACCACATGATATTGTTTCCTTCCCCATTTGCCAACAATCCAAATGTTCTCCAGAGACAGAGAGGTGGTTCTCAAAGTGAGGTCCCTGGACCAGTAGTGTCATAGTTACCTAGAAACTTGTTAAAAATGCAAACTCCCAGACCTCACCCCAGATCCTCTTCATCATTAACTCAGGGTCCTAGCAGTCTATAGGTTCATAAGCCCACCAAGTGCTTCTGATCCTCAAACAAGTTTGAGATCCTCTTCTACAGGGACATTTAAGACTCTAATTTGATACTCAAAAGGAGAAGGTGCCCAGAGAGCACCACAATTATTCCTTGGCCTCCATTTTAGTGGATTTTGTTGCTATTTTCAAAAATTATGTTTTGTTTTTAAACACTGAAATCATACTCAGTTCTTTCTAGAAGTAGGAAGCAATATCAATCTCAAGTGTAGTAATTCTAATATATCTGACCTTTAAATTAGTTCTCATTGACTATATCTTGTGGCCCCTTGATAGCATAGTTTAATGAGTTTATAAAACACATGTAAATACATTTATATAAATATAACATTTATAGTTAAATATTTATATTTGTAACAGAATGTGATTCGTATGAATATCTCTAACACTCCAACCTCCTTGCTCCTGGTTTTTACTTTGCCATCAAACATTTCATTTGCAAGATTCCTGGAATATCCTAAGAATCCTGAGTCAGTACTAGTACTCAATCATTGAAAAGTCAATGTAGAGTTTTGCTGCTTACCCAATTGTGTCTTGATTGCATCTGAAATCTCAAACATAATGGATGTAGGAAGTTTTATAGTGGTGTCATTAGGACCTGGTATAATAAGGTGAACTGCAAAGAAATAGATATAAATAAGATAGGGGAAAGACAATCAATCATGACATAAAGCTCAGAACACCAGGTACTAGAATATGAAGCTTAGTGTTTATTTTGGTTAGTCAGTTTTGACCTCAAATTTAAAATGTTGGGAGAAAATATGATCATACCTTTGAAATAGAGTGTTTTCCATTTTTAGAACTGAACTACTGAAATCCTCGGGATTTAATCTATAGATTAAAAATTATAAAATGTCTGTTTAAGATGTGTGATGAACCAAGATTATTATCAATGATTTTTTTTTTTTTTTGGTAGTCATAGGGATTAAACCCAGGTCCTCCTACATGCTTGGCAAACATTTTACCACAAAGCTACATCCCCAACCCAAGACAGTGACTTTTAAAAGAGCAGTTCAATACAAGAAAGACTCCCATGTAACTTCAAACAACCCTGTGGGCACGTAGGATGAACACCATCATTCCCACTGGGCATGGGCTAAAGATTCTTCTTGAACACACCGTGATAAAGGCAGTGTCTCTTGGCTGCTAGCCTAGAAGGCACACAGGTCAGGATGGCACACAGTGATAGGAAATAGACTGACAATTTAACAGCTCTTCTCACTGTGTAAAACTCCTTCAGGGCCCTATTATTAAAAGACAGTCTAAGCTGCTGATTCTAGATATGGGTTTCAAGGTTGACTCACCTAGTATTGGTCCTCCATAGGGAGTCTTATCTGGAGATTTAGTGGAAGCCTTGTGAGTAACATTCTGAATCACTGTTGAAATACAAAAGAAATAGTGAGTTGAGATAAACAAAACAAAAGAGGAAGCAGTAAGGAGTTAATAATGTGAAGCCATCTGTCCTGTGAATATCCTAATCCAAGTTTATCAGTTAATAAAAAACAATTCAGTGGGCTGGCTACACAGCCAGCAGGAGGATTACCTAAATACCTCTGCCTTTAGGTAACGAAAGGATATTATTCTATCATAAAGTGTTCCATTCTAATTACTGGAAGATTTCCTTTGTATCTCTACTCCCTGAAAACTGCCTTTTCCCCAGGTCAATTAAAACTAGCAAAAAATGTAGCCTGAAAGCAGAGATAATTTCAATTCTAACTGACCCTGTTTTGAAAGTACACTTAGGATATTTTGTTTTCTTAAAAGAAGAACTATTTAAGGATTCATCTCTTCTATCAAGAACCTTTCTGGAAATAATGGAATCATTTTAATAACTCGAAAAACAAAGTCAAAACAAAAACAATTGGACACTGAAATATACATAATTCTTGAAACCTGAACATCTTTACTTTCCCTAAGTGATCACTAAATCACAGTTTTCATTTCACATCTTAATGTAAATGTTCTATTAATGGCTTTCTTTATGCATGATATCTTAATCCTGAATTAAGCTCCACATACTTAAGTGACTTCTAAAAATTTAATACTTGTTATGGTTGCTTTGTCCAGAGTTGTGCTCAAGGTTTTGCATATTGGTACAAGAGCCCAAATTACCTATTAAGTGCTAATTTACTAGACCATACTAGTTTCTTCAAACTTTTTCTGAAAAGCAGAAATCAGAGTGTTTGAGAAAATATATAATTATTTTTGTTTAAAAGTATATTAAAACTAGTTCTTAGGTACCCAGAGAGCAGACTAATTACCTTGTTTGATGATTGTTATTGGGATTAGCTTCTTTGGGACATACGCTGGCTGAAAAGAGAGGAATAAAAATCAGCTTCCATATCAGTTCTAATGACCTAAAGAAATAGTCCTTCCTTGTCTTTAATGAATTCTGTCAAGCAGGTTTAATAGTGACTGTATAGATCTTTACTACCCACATCTGCCTCTATTTTATTGGATTCACCTGGTTTCCACAATAATTATCCAAAGGATTGATGGCAGCAATTTATTCAGAATTCTCATTTAGTTAAAAATTGCAAGGGACAGAAACTAATTCCTCTATGTTGAATATAGGTTTATTTTCATTTGACTTGAGGAGCCAAGTTCTGTCTTTATATTGCCTCTCAAAAAGATGCTAAGTTACCATTGTTCAAGCACACCCTGTTGTAGCTGCTGTTACTACAGGCACCACAACCTCTTTGAGCTCCTGGAACCAAGCCTTTGTTGCCTGAGAGGGCAGAGCTGGGACTTAGGTCCAGACAGTTCTTACCTCAAAGCCTGTATTCAACCATTCTTCACCTACTTATACACAAGGGACTTCAGAATTAGAAGGGCACATCCCAGAGGACTATACTTCCTCCCCTCACCCAAATTGCATCAGAGGTCCCACTGAAGGTTTTGACACCATACACTGGCTGGCACTAGGTTTATGCTTTAAAACAGAGTCACTGCCAGACAAAATCAGGAGCCAAGGATAAAACAGACGAGAGCTACGTGTAGACACACAAAGAGAAGGGCAGCAAATACATGTGAGAGGTCAGAGGTGAGCTGAAAGGTCCTTGAATTTTTGGTACCTGGTCTAACTTGTGTTTATGATGTAGACATACCATGTAACAGACCTGTTGATTGTGAAGCATGTGGTGAACATGAGATACTGAGCAAATAGGGGTTCACAGTTGTGAGCAAGAGAGTTATTTACATGCTATCATTTTAATGAATTGTATGCCCATGTTGAAGAAGGGCCATAATACCAGCCTATTTTTCTTGTATTATGGTACTTATGTTTAAAAACCACAAAAAGTTTACTACCATCAGGTCATTTTTGCAAAGAGGTATCTGTACTCATTGACCTAGCAATTTCCTCCTCAGCCTAAGGAATTAATCAGATAGAGATAATTCTTTACACATAAGGTTGTTTAATATCATAGTTTAAAACAACATTAGTTTCCAAAAATATAGGTTTTATTAAATAAATTATATGGTCTAAGTGTTTACTTCTATTTAATAAACTGGAAAAATATGCAGATTATGAATAAATACAAAGAATACAAATATGCATACATGGTATGTTGCAATTTTATAGCAAATACAGAGACAAAAGTCAAAAAAGGAAAGACATCATAGTTTTGTTATTTTTAACAGTAGTTATTTCTTATAAGCTAATAGTGATTTTGTCTTGCATACCTTCATGTATGCCAGATTCCTTACAAGGTGAATTACATTTCCAATCAGTCAAAGTTACCTTAATCTATAGTCTGTTCAGCTACCACATATGCTTCTATGTGGCAACTTAGCTTGTGCACTTCTGGTGAATAGGGGAATGATTTAAATACAATTTAGACATGATTTTTTTTCCCAAAGGGAGTAGAAGAGGAGGAATAGAAGAATAACCTTTAATGGGAAAAAAAAAGATTCTCAGTTTGAAGGTTGTACTTCTAGGAAGACCCCTCTCTGCTTCACCATAGAAAGATTTTGTCAGCATTTCCACACGAATCCTTTTCTGGAGAGGACAGACAGGCTCATTGCATAGTATATTCTTGTGTCCCCCTTAAAATCAGTCTACCTGGCTCCCCTCTACCTGCACTATCTACTTCTTACCTATGAAACTTCAGGAAAAGTGCCGCAGGTATACAGTTTCTACCACTTCTAAGAATTTTTTTATATTAGCATTTATTTTTGCTACTTATATTTTTAGTTTTTTTCATAATTACATGTATATATTTAGGAGACACAATGTGACATTTTGATAAAACCATACAACAAAGAGTGATTAAATCAAGCTAATTAACTTGTCGAACTACCTTACTTATCCTTTTAGGGGGTGTGAGTCATTTGATACTTATTTTTAGCAATGTTGAATTACATGTTATTAGTAATTATGGTCATCTTTCTGTGAATTAATTCTCAAAAATGTATTCTTACTGTTTGACTAAAACATCTCCTCATTCCCCCTCTGCCTCTGTCCTACTGGCTCACTTCCCCAGATACTAGTGATCTCTTCTCTTGAGTTCAACCCTCTGAGAATTTTAAATGACTGGTATAGCAACTTCCAGTTACATGAAAGCCTCCTGGTGGGGGAGATACATTACCTTTCTAGGTACCAAGGGTCATTTTGGGTAGGTCTGTGGCTACAGTTACAAAAGTTTTTGAATGGTGTACCCTATATTTGCCCTACAAATCCTGTCTCTTAGTACATGTTCTGCAGAATGTGAAGTTTTTCAGAAACACCTAACACTTTATAGCAGAAATGCCTACACGTGGCTGTGTTTGTAGCCTTTGAATTGTATTACTCCAATTTTATTCCCTGTGATGTAATGATTAATTTAAGACAAACAATTTTTCGACAAGGACAAATGGAAAATATTTTACTCTTCACATGAATGGAACAGTTTCTGAGTTCTTAGTTGAGTACAGACCAATGTTCTAGTAACTTGATGACAAGACTACAGGTACAATTTGTGCTGCCAAAAATAAGGAAATCATTTAGCTGCAGAATGCAATTCTTTCTAGACCTACAATTGCTGTCTTATCTAATCTGCAATTCAAAGGTGCTCTGACACTAGATAGCTACATCTCAATAGGTAGGTTCCTCCCCTTCCTCTCCCCAGTACTGAGGATTGAACCCTTTGGGCTATATCTGTGGTCAATTTTAGTTTTTATTTTGAGACAGGATCTTCTAAGTAGCTGAGGCTGGCCTTGAACTTGAGATTTTCCTCCTTGGCCTCCTGAGCAAAAGGTAATGTTTTTAAAGGGCATCAGGAAAGTCCTGCTACCTCATACATCTCTGCCAAAGAATCTAAAATCCCCATATAGAAATCCACAAGGTGCATCCTTTCCATGTGTTATTAATGTTTAAGGAAATATCTGTAACCTGAACCTTCCAAAAAATGAAATAGTGTGATAACTTTTAAGATAGCAATGTTTAAACAATCATTACCTGATTTTATTTGAATTTGATGTACAATATTTTTAAAAAGACACCTATTGTTCATTGTGCATTGGAGTCACAGGTACAGATGGTGAGAAGGTTGCAGGGGGAAGAGGGAGTGAAAGTTCTGCAGGCTGCCATGCAGTTTGGGCTATTATGGTGCTATAGCTTGAATTTGTCCTTCAAAGTTCATGTGATAGAAATGTAATTCCAATGTAACAGTGGGAACTTTAAGAGGAAATTAGGTCACCATTACCTGGGGAGTTGGTTAGTTAACACTAGAATGGGTTCCTGAAAAAAGGAAGAGCCTGGCTCCTTCCACCTCTTAGGTATGCGCTCCTGCCCTTCTGCCCTTCTGCCTTCCACCATGGGATGATGGCCCTCACCAGATGCCAGCTCCCTGATCTTGGACTTCATAGTCTCTAGAATTTTATAATCAATCTCTGTTCTTTGTAAATTACTCAGTCTGTAATATTGTTATGGCAACACAAAACAGATCTAGTAAGACACATGGCATCGGCACAACACCACTCTCCATGGACACTACCTCTGAAGCAATTCTTCAGCAGTTTCTCACTGACTCTCTTTGTTCTGCAGCTTTCTAACCCCTAGGCTTACTGTAATCATCTGTCACTACTTCCTCCAACAGTTCTCACCCTTTCCTTCATTTAGCAAGTATTTTTAAAATACTTATTATATGCCAGAAAGTTAATATATTTACCTGCTGCCCTATAAGAGATATGTTATCTGTTTCTACTTTTCTAGATACCTGTCCCTTTACAACCGTACTTCCCTTGAGCAGAGAGATTAAGAAAATTTACTTTTACTGTTTGTCTTGGATGTTGTGACTGAGTATGCAGATGGTGACAATTAATGGGGAAAGAATGCTGAAGTGGTAAAGTGAAATGCTCTTGAGACAAATCTAGTGTGCTTTTTTGGTCATGGCTAGAGAAAGCCTATGCTTATTCAGAAACAAGCACAGCAGCCACAACAGTTGCATAGCAGAGGAAATTTCAATTGACCTTGCAGCATACTAACTTCMTCCTGATATTGTTTGAAAAATTAGGTTTAATAAAATTAATAAGAATGCTATTTTTTATAGGTGTGTCTATTTGGAGATTTTGTGGTGTCAAAATATTTATTGTAGATGTAACTATTTTCAGGCCCTGAGAAAGAAGAGAAATGTCCACTTTGGGGTTAAAGGTTACTCAAAATAAAATTTCAGTTACTAAAGAGCCAAACCACATGAGAGGAACTTGGGATTGTTATAATTCAGTTTTTTGGATGTTCTAATGAAAGTTATTAAACATACTGATTCAATATAAAATATAAAATCTGGCTGGAATGAACCTAACATTCTACTTCTCATAGTCTTTGAATTTCTTGTCAGCAGAAAAAAGATGAGACATATACCTTTGATGATATGGTTGGTCTACATATATTTTTCAAGTTCCTGCTTAAGACGAGGATTGTTAAGAGTGGAAGGATGCACAATCTTAAAGTATGGGTAGGACTAAAAAGGCAATTCTTTTTATTGACATGACTCATCTGTTGATACACTTTAAACATTGGTAATACTTATTTTTGTCAATAAAAGATATGACTTCTTAAAATATGGGTGGATTTGGAATAGAAGAAAGAAAGTGAAAATAAATATTCTATCTTGGAGAACACTAGGAGATTTTGATCAATTATATTTGTATTTCAAAATCTATTGTGCCACTCAAAAATTGATTCTCTTTAATGAACTAGTTAGATAACTAAATTTTTTAAAAGAGATAATGTATTAAAATTTTACTCATTTTTCTAATATTATTTCTTGAAATAAGAAAACCTCTAATAGTAAACATTTGTTTTTTAAAAAATGTAATAGATGGGGCCGGGGTTGTGGCTCCGTAGTAGAGTGCTTGCCTAGCATGTGGGAGGCACTGGGTTTGATCCTCGGCACCACATAAAAATAAATAAAATAAAGGTATTGTGTCCATCTACAACTAAAAAAATATTTTTTCAAAAAAAGGTAATAGACTCTCAAGAAGGGAAAAATAGCTCAAATATCACGGTAAGTGTATTTTTCTTTCTTAATTACACCAATCTTAAGTGATACAGTTTGTTACAAAGAATACAGCTGTGTTTATGCATATACTCTTTCTGATTTTTCCAGAGGTGAAGGCAGGAGTGATACTCAAAGTATTTAACAACTGGTAGGACAAAGGCAGTGACCCATCAGAAGAGATCCTGCTACATATCTCTGCCACAGCTCTACTGGGACTCACCAGCAAAACACAACTAGATACATGAATTACAATATATATCGTAACCAGATGGATAAGATGGGGTGCCTTAAATTCAATTCAAAAATTTTAACCTAAATATTATTTATCTTTTAAAAAGGATGGCCTAGAGTTCACACAATTTTTCCCATTTCAAATAATCCCCTTAAGAAGGTATCAAGGAGTTTTTGCTGCTTATAAGATTTAGGTGTAAGAATGTATAATGAATGAACCCATTTTTCAATGTATCTTTTGCTTGAAACCTTAAAAAGTAAAACATCTGGAATGAATTTTACATCTCTTGAAATACTGCCTTCTAAAGTCAGTCTCAGAGAAGACATGGGTGAATATTTGGGCACAGACTTTATTTGGACTGAAATATACCTCTGAAGTATCAAGCTGGTTTTCAGAATCAATTCTATGTGGTCATAGAGGATGGCTGAAGGCTGTCCCACATAATTCCTTTTTGACTTTACCATGTCTGACAGCATCTAAGAGCACAGATGTCAGTTTATTTTTCTGCTGTTCTGAGAATAATCATAAAGAAAGCTTCACAGAGAAGACTAAATATATCTTTTCAATGAATTTGGGTTTTYCTTTGGAAATAACCAAGAGTTTAAAAGTACAGCTCATCAGAGCTGGCTGCTTGCGGGTGCTCCACCTCACAGCTTGAAGTGATAAAATGTTTGGCTGTGTGTCAGAGATGCAGGAAGTTTCTCCCTAACCCTTCCTATCATGGCTCTTTATGATGAGGAGAAAAAATTAAGTTACTCCATAGTAAAATGCCAAACAGCTTTCCTAATTCTGCTGAGTAACTCACACTAAATGAAATATTCTGCCAAAATAAATAAAATTTTTTGGGATATGATAACCCAAAAGAAGGAATGAAAAAAAATGACATCATTGAATCACATGAAAGATGGAACATGACAGCCAAGAAGGYTGGAGATAAGCTATTCTTCCTAGGAAACCATTCACAACAAAGAATGAGGACTGTTCTAGAAGAGGATGAAAGAGCAATTCTATTACATTAATCCACATATGCAGTAGAGCAGATTTATCTTTCCTATGCAATACTGACTGGATCCGAGACATACACATACATACATACACACACACACACACACACACACACACACACACACCCCATAGTAAAATAGAATCCATATAGTTTGGAGTTTAATTATTGCAAAGTAAAGCCATTTGTAAAACTAGAAATTGGATGGAAATATACTTATCTGCTCTCTGGAGAGGGAGAGAGAGGCTTTCTAAAATATAACACAACTGAAGATATGACAATGGAAAAGTCTAATAATTCAATTGAGCAAATTTTAAGACTTGCCTTCTTCAAAAATTTCAATAAACAAAATTAATTGATAACATATGTGTTCTAGATGATATCATAAAGGATCAATGTTCTTTAATCTATAAACTCTTTAAATGATTCAATAAAAAAGATCACAAAATGTCCAATAAACAAATAACTGCAATAAAGGTCATTAAATGGAAAACACAAATGTCTAATAAACAAGTAAAGAAAGTACAGATTTATCAGCCACCAGAGAAATGGTAATTTAAAACTATCACATTGGTGAAAGCTTTGGTGATGGAAATACATGATGTTGGCAATGAGAGGATTATATGAAGATACACTCTGGTATATTCCTGGCAAGACGGTAAAGTGGTACAGACTTTCTGGAAAGAAATTTGACTATATATATTAGGAAGGCTAAAAATGTAAAATTATTAATAGATAATTCTAGGTATTTGTTTTAAGGAAAAAAACAGAAATGTGAACAAAGTTTTATGATGAGTTCACTATAACATCATTTAAATAAAAAAATCAGAAGTAACTTGAATGCCTACAAACTGATTAAACAGATGATGAATAGGATACCTATTATTTGTAGCAAAATGGATGAAATTGGAGGACATTAGGTTAAGTGAATTAAGTTCAACACACAAATACCATGGTCTCTCTGATATATAGATGCTTTAAAAAGTCAATCTGAATGTGCAATACAATTTCTGGAAGTTGGGAAGGGTGGGGATACAGTAGGAGTTTGGATACAGAGTACTCTAAGGTTCTACAGCATAGTGGAAGGATCATAGTTCACAGTACCGTATTAAACACAAAAAGAGTTCGAAAGCTCCAAATACAAAGTAATGATAATATGATGCACATATTAATGACTCTAATTTGACCAGTACATATTGTATACTTGTACTGAAATATCATATTGTACCACATAATATTGTTTAATTATTATATGCTAATCACATTTTTTTTTATTTTTAAGGACTTATAAATGTTAACTCTCCTGTTTAATCATAATGTAATGTACATATGTATGAAATTATCACACTGAACCCCATAAATTTGTACCAATAAAATAAAAATCTTAAAAAGTAAAAAAAAATTAAAGTTTTAACAGAACACAAATGGTCTTATACTAGTCTTTGTAAGATTTGTTATGGATAAATTTGCTAATGCATTTCCACTGTTTTTACATTCTGAACTTTAAATTTTAGACAGTGAGGAAAATAGCAAAACCTAAAAAAAGAAAGAAAGTAAGAAAAAGAAAAGAAAAAAAATAGCAAAACCTAAAAAGAAAAAAAAAATAGAAAAAGAAAAAACCGAGGCCTGGGAATTTAGCTTCAATCCCTTTCTTGTATTGAGATTTGAAATACGTATGTTATGGTTTGGATTTTTAATGTTCCTTCTGCCCTCATCCTTCACCAAACAACAACAACAACTAACAAACAAACAAAAACAACCTATGTGTTAGACAATGTAAGAATGTTCAGAGGTAAATGAGTAGATTATAGAGTTGTAACCTCATCAATGGATTAAACCATTTAATGGATTAATGATGTGAATGAACTCCTGGGTGGTAAGTGTAGGCAGTTGGGGCATGGTGGAAGAAGTAGGCCACTGAGGACATGGTCTGGACTATAGATGTTCATGAACCCTTYTTTTTTCTGTCTCTTGGCTGCCATGAGCTGGTAGCTTTCTTCTGCCACATCTTAGGCCCCAAGCCATGAAGTCAGCCAACCATGGACTGAACCTCTAAAATCTTGAGCTCAAAATAAACTTTCCCTCTTTTGGGTTGCTCTTGTCAGATATTTTCCTCACAGGAACACAAAATTTACTGATACAACATCAAAATAGTTTCCTGGCAATCATAATAATGTAATGCTTGTAATTATTATTTGATAAGAATTTCATAGTAAACACATTTTTCTGCCAACTGAAACCATAGAAACAACTTGTCTTATCAGGATTAATTCTCAGTCCTATTTTATCCAAGCCCATTTTCTGTCACTGAAAAGAATCCTCCTTCTGGGTTAGGGATGGTAGATCCTGTGTTTTGTTTTGTTTGTTTGTTTTTTAACAGGGAAAACCCTGGGTTTGATCCCCAGCACCAAATACAAACCAAAAAGAAATAGAAAAAAAGAAAAAGAGTCCTCCTAAGCATGTACTCCCCCACCCCATCACCCCTGGGCTACAAGATCAATGGAGTAGTCTGTGAACTATTTAATTAGACATAAAAAGATAACCATCCAGACAGATCATGTTATACATTGAAGAGCAAATTTTCACCCATGATGAGAGCTTCTGCATTCATTCAACTGTAGGATATTTCACAGGCTGGATACTTACAATACATAAGAAACAAAGCCAGCACTAAATTTTCCTGTTCTTACCAAAGTAACTCCTCATCCTGGTCAGTAACATAATGTTCTTGCTTTACAATTGGACATGTGATTTGAAATGCAAACATCTCTATGTGGCTGTATCAATGGCTTACATTATACTAAGTAGTGCATAACTGATATGATGTGTCCCAGAGCAGACTGTGAAAAAAAATATTTGCTCAAGTGAGACATAAAAGGCTATCTAGACTGGAAGCAGGAGAGAAAAATGCCTGGCTCACAAACCACACAAATAKTTACAGTACTGAACTGAAGCTGGGCATGTTTTCAAACCAAACCGATTGCTTTTTCATTTTGAAAAGGTTGGCTACTTTAAGTAGGAAGTGATAGAAAGTAAAAAAGGAAAGATTTCAACTTTAGCAATGTACCTAGAGCATGGACCAATCAATTGGCTTTTGAAGTGTTATATTAAAAAACAATCCACATGATAGAAGAAGCATTACCTAAAAATACCTAGAATATTCAAATAACAGAATGACTATATGAAAATTTCAGAATTTTAGAGCTTCAAACAAATTAGAGATAATTTGGAATCATAGTTCTCAGAAAAAGAAGCTAATTCCTAAAACACTAAGCACTTTACCCATTTCTCCATTGCTAATCAGTTAATCCAGTTTCAGTAACTCCTAATTGGACTCTTTCCTTATTTAAATAAAAATACAATGCAGATAATTTTTTWAAAATTCTTAAAAGTGAACTGGTACATACCACTGTGTGGATTTGGTCATAAGTACTCTGGATTTTCCCATTTACTTTGTTTTTACCTGACAAAAAAAAAAGGGGAGAAATGACATTATTTTAATTTTTCTTGCTCCCAAATCAATTTCAGCCCATCATTATGAAGATGACTACAACTCATGCTCTATCTTGGGCATATTATATTGCATCCTAGCCTTTTAAATATTGATTCCAATTAAGTTTTAATGAAAGGATAACTAGAAGAAAACTAAGGGTTCTCCCCAAATATTTTTATATCCACTTCTGCTGGTCTATCTTTCCATTCTAAACATTTGTAATAATAATAATAATAATAACAACAACAACAACAAACAACATTATTATTATTATTATTATTGGCTCAGTTGTATTCACTGGTCAGCAAAATATGTTACAAGGGCCTATGACATCAGTAGAGACATCAATTTTTTAAACTGCTTATTTTAAAAAATCATATTATTAAATAAAGATTTTGAAATGTAAATACTTAAATTCTATTCTTTTTGCATTTTCTTAAATACTAGAACATGAAAATTAACTCACTTCATATCATGCAAAAACTAAAAATAGATAATTAAGGAAAAAAGAAAAAAATTACAAAAATCTTACTGAAACAAACAATTCCAGATACTTACTTCCTATAATAGTCTTGTGATTAAAAATCTTACTCCAAATTCCCCCTTCCACATTGTCTTTTACTCCAAATTCATAAACTGTGTTGGGCTTTAAATTTTCCACAATTGTTTCAGTGGCTGGACAGAGTTGAAAAATCCATTTTTTTTCCTTATCCTTTTCTCTATAGCGAATTGTGTAAAATCTGTTGAACCAAAATATAATACCTTAAAATCACATGGAAAGTCACAATATAATTTCAAGTTTCTTAATGTATCTCAGACTTCAATCAACTCAGAAAACTATATTTAATATTGGACTGTTCAGTTTTTAAAAATTTGTCACTCATTTACTCATGCTAAAAATACTTATTGTGCACCCTTGAAGGACTAAATTTATTTTGATGTTCTTCAATTTCTCCAAGTAGTTCTTGTTTTTTAAAAATCTATCCAAGTTGCCTTTTTATTAATAATAAAATTTATTAACACATACTGCTTACAAATAGTATAGACTCAAATGTTATAAAAATAAATCAGTAGATATTTAAAGGCAAATGCAAAAATTTACACATTAGATCATTAAAGATTTTACAAAGTTTTTATACTGTCAACAGTTGTCAAAACTAGATATATTAAGCAAAAAAAAAAAAGCAAGGTACAAACTAGCAAGTATCATGTTACCATTATGTTTTTAAAAGGAAAGAAAGACAGTCTCACACATGCACAGACTAGATCTGGAAGAATGCTTAGGAAACTACTGCCAGCGGATGCGTAAGGACTAGGGATCAGGAAATGGGAAGGAAATTCACATTCATTGAATATCCTCTTGTATTATCAAATTTTTAAAATTCATATTCAAGCACAAATTTGTTCACATATTTTTGGTTAGTAGTTACATTAAAGACTAAATCCTTAACAAGTAGATTCAACATGAAATTAATTATATACCACAAACAAATGAAAAAATTTGCAATTATTTCTGGAAATATTTTCATGAAAAGGGTTTACAGGGTAAGAAATGAGAAAAGCTTCTGCAGTACAGATGTTATTACAATGATATTTAAGTGAAAAATTTTATTTCCAAATGTGAAACATTTCCAGGGGTATGTGAAGACTATAAGACAATGATGGCTAAGCTTAGCCTTTATTTCTTTCCTATGAAAAAAGGTTTATGCAAATGTATAGGAGGCTTGAAATTGTCACTTTAAGGGAAAAAAATGGAAATGCCTTACAGTGAGCTTTATGTCTACTTGACAGAGAAACCAAGATTTTCACCAACCACTAATATACTACTCACCAGCATGTTATTCATGAAAATGTCTTTATATAAAAATAATGTAGTGTTTTTATTTTATGTTCTGAAAAAAATTATTAAACTATAAGTCAAGATTTAATTTCTCTAGCCTGGCTTCTCACTTACATCAGGAAGGTCAAGGTCATGGCACAGATAATGACTATTCCAAATGTGAGCTATAGTTGATGTGCTTTCTAGGTTGGGTATACACTCTACATACTTGTTACATTTATCCCCTTATCCCAGTGGTATTACCCAGTCACCCCCTAAATATGTATCCTAAATCCAAAAAGAGAAAGGTAGATGACCTACTTCTTCTCCATCAGACCTTTTCTTAAGTTATTTCAGAAACAGCAAGAAATAATMTGCTTTCTCTACTCACCTGTTCTGAAATACAGAACACACTTACATAATACCCATCTTTGAATTTCTGTGTCCTTGAACAAGCACATTTGCAAACAATTAGCTGAATATTAAAAGACCCTCAAAAATTAGGAATATATCTCTAGTAGAAAAGAATTCAAAAGCATCAAGTTCCAAAGCACACTGATCATTTCAGCAAAAAGTCTCCGGAGAGGTAATGAGTGAATGGCACATTCTCTCCAACTCAAGGACCACTGCATAGTACTAGAGATGATATAACAGTCTGACTAATCAAAAGGTGACATCCCCCACTCCCAATGTTAAATCTTATACGCTGGAAAAATAATCTAATGTTGTATGTAAACGCAACACTTTGGACTAGAGGAGTGGCGGCTAGGCACAACTGCCCTTGCAAGGAAGGATCAGAGCAAAGGACAGCTTTAAGCCTTGTCTTCATTTTCCAAGAAATCAGTCAATGTTCCACTGTCAACAGGAATTAATAAATATTCCACTCTGTCAGTTCTCTTTGTTTTTGTAAGTTTGTGGTCCCTGAATTCCATTAAGTGGGCCAGGAATGTCACACACTATTGACAAAGAATGCCTCCTGACAGTGCTGGTAAAAACCTGGAAAAGAAAGTCCAATGTATGAAGGGTTACCCTGGTTATCCAGCTGATACTTTATTAGTAGCCAAAAAGTAAATCCTGCTTAGATTAGGGATATGGCTTTGTAAAACTTGAGTCAGGGAACCAAGTGGTAGAGATCCAGAGTGTTTAACCAAAAGAAATTTCTTATAGGAGGTTTCTTTAATATAAAAACTGTATGTAAAAACCACAACTTCTGGGACAGGAGTCCTTGTATTTCTCCTTTGCTAGCAGAGCAAWAAACCTTTTTCCTTTATCTCAAAATCATGTCCTTGTTATTGGACTGGCATTGGGAATAAGGACAGAGTTTTGGCAACAAATTGGCAACCCAGATGTGACTTGAGAATAGTCCCAGCTCCAGCTTTCTTGGGCAGGCCTGGCTCTCTAAGAAACCCTACTTTCATGCTGAGGATGCAAGGTGGCTGGTGAACTTGCTGAGAGCAAACTGCCGGAGAGTTAGGAGATGGGTGAGTTWGCCTGGGTTGAACTAAGGAGCTAATCCTGTGAGTAAAGGAAGTGACTGAGAGACTATCCTAGCAGCTGTCAAATCTCCTTTTGCTTCAGGGAACTCCTGCCTTCTCTTCCTGAATGGTACAGGTTGCTCCATCATGATCCATTTTGAGAAAAAGGAAACTGAACTCAGTAAAGTTGCAACACCCTTGGCCATCTGGTAAGTCCCCCAGTGTGCACACCAAGACCCTTGATTCTACCCATCTGGTTCCTCTTTCTGGGGACATCCATGGCACCACTGGTGTAGGTGTCAGGATTAAGTGGGACTCTAGAACCTACATACAGAGAGCCAAGATGGTGGGCCAGAAGGAGGCAGCATTCTGTGTTGCTCTGTGACCCAGGTCTCAACTAGTGGGAATACTGCTTCTCTGAGAGTGATAGAGGACTCCTACACGGCTGCTCTCATGTAGAAATCACCAGCACTGTGCCTCCGCACAGGGCCCCGGGCTTCAGTGTTAGAGCAGGACTCCAAACTCCCGACTTCTAGCCCACTCAGGGTTCCCGAGGGCTTTAGCAGGATCACCACATCAGCACCAGAGCAGAATTCCCAGATACCACTCCGTTCCCATGCAGGACACTCAGCTGCTACTCATCTACAGGAACTCCAGCCGCCACTACCCTGTGGACCCCCATCTACCAACATGGGAATCCCTTGGTTGCCTCCATCTGGTGACTCAGCAGCTACTGCCATGGTCCCCTACACGTGGTAGTCTGCTTGCACCTGAGGACATCTCACAGGTTCTAAAGACAGCCAACGGCTGCAACACTGCACGCCACAGAGCTCATCTCTGAATACATCACACAATGCCATTGCCTGGCTCACCCCACCCTGGCGCTGGAAGTGGCCTTCTTCCATCTTGGGTCACCTTCCTCTCTATCTTTGGTGGGGGCAGCTCCCAGATTGGAACTTCAGCTGGCCATACACCGGGTTTCCAACTCCCCCCTTTCCCCAGCAGGACACAGTAACTGCCCAACACATAACAGGTCTCAGTGGAACAGGTGCTCAGTGCGATCAGGGCGCCACCCACTGGAGGCCTGTGAGAGAGATCCCTTAAATGGGAACTAGTAAGGGAGAAGGGGAGGGTGCAACAGTTTGGAGATTAACAGAGAGACCGGGAACTGGGAAATTTTCAGGCATCATAGGAGATAGGACACAAAAAGAGACCCTTGAGGTGCAGTCTCCTTTTAGGAACTGGCAGGTGCCATGCCTCACTTCCAGGTGCCCTGCACCAGGACTAGCCTTCCCACCCTGGTTACCTTCACCATACTGAAGGCAGAGATACCAGCTAACAACAAACAACCCCACCTATTGGTTGAGAAGGGAAGCAGAAAAGATATGATCTCTAACCAAAACAATTAACAGTCCTGGCTTCTTACTTGGAGATTTTTTTTTTCTCCCCTTCTATTCTCCTGCTCTCACATTGCCAACATATGTGAAACCAAGTACTTTGCATGAATCAGGATTTTTGAGAACTGGTACATCTGAATAGCTAAAGTTAATCAAAAAGGATAAAGAAGGACATTTCATACTGCTCAAGGGAACCATGCACCAACAAGACATAACAATTATAAATATATATGCCCCAAACAATGGAGCATCTATGTTCAAACAAATTCTTCTCAAGTTCAAGAGTCAAATTGACAACAACACAATAATCATGGGTGACTTTAACACAGCTCTCTCACCACTAGACAGATCTTCCAAACAAAAGCTGAACAAAGAAACTATAGAACTCAATAACACAATTAACAACCTAGAATTAATTGACATATATAGAATATTTCATCCTTTGATAAGCAAATAGACTTTCTTCTCAGCAGCACATAGATCCTTCTCTAAAATAAACCATATAACATGCCACAAAGTAACTCTTAGAAAATACAAAAAAGCAGAGATACTACCCTGCATTTTATTAGATAATGGAATAAAATTAGAAATCAATGACAAAATAAAAAAATAAAAGCTACTCCATCATCTGGAGTCTAAATGATATACTACTGAATGAACAATGGGTTGCAAAAGACTCAAGGAGGAGATTGAAAAATTCCTAGAGGTAAATGAGAACTTAAACACAACATATTGAAATCTCTGGGACACTATAAAGGCAGTACTAAGAGGAAAGTTTATCACATTGAGTTTATTTCTTAAAAGAAGAAAAGGCCAACAAATAAATGACCTAACATTTAATATCAAAGCCCTATAAAAAGAAGAACAAATCAACACCCAAAACAGAAGACAGGAAATAATTAAAATTAGAGATAAATTGAAACAAAAGAAACAATTAAAAAATTGACAGAACAAAAAGTTGATTCTTTGAAAAAAATAAATAAAATTGACAGACCCATAGCTACACTAACAAAGAGAAGGAGAGAGAAAACTCAAGTTGCTAACATACA